GTCTCTGCTTAACTCATAAAATTCTTGATCCCACAACTCTACATTACAACTAAGATCATCATCTTTAATTTTCATATATAATCTTGTCTCATAATTTTCAGCAGGTTTATACCATCTTACAAATGCAAGATGATATATTTGTTTACTAAAAGGAAGATAGATAGTGTGATTAAAGTAGAATTGAACCTAACCAGGATATGAATCTGCTGATTTATTTCTGAAGCAACAAATCTTGCTAAAATTTTTGAAGATTTGATATAGCAAGCTGAGAATGTAGATTCAAAAATTTTTGATCCTAACTTTAACTGTCTATATTGAATAATAGTAGAAAATACAGATATTTGATCAATTCCTGATACACTTTCAGGTTTGATGAATTGATAGCCTATATCTGCTACATTATAGAATTCAACTAAAAGGGTATTGTAACATAATATTTTCTAATTTTGGATTGAAAAATATACCAGAAAATGATTTATAACCAAAAGCTTCTCCCTGGTTGATAATATTTTTTAAATTATAAAATTGAAGAAGATCTTGTAATTCAAATTCATCCAGAATAGCCATGCTATCACCTGATATTTGACCCTTTAGTATTGTAAGAGAATTGAATAGTCTGTCATCATTTTTAGTATGTGATACAATTTTATTCAAATATTTATTTGTGAGAATAATTCTTAAAAGTTCTGGTTCTATATTTCTATAGCTACTTTTATATGAGCCTATAAAATATAAATTATATATAATGATAAGTATTTTTACATAATATAATACTGTTTATAATCACCTAATATTTACCTAAGATTCCATTCATACGCTCAAAGGAAAAACACCAAAATGAATCCATACAATTTTCACACAAATGCAAACTTAAATAGATATTAGGAGTAATTTTTTTAGGACTATAGTTCTGTTCTATTAACTTTGCTACATTTAATAATCTTTGATGAGCTTCATTAAGTATCTCTTTATCTAATATTCTACAAACTAATAGATTATATGCTCTAACGAAGTTTGCAAGAATATGCTGGTCTAGTTCTGTTAATAAATCTCAGGTAATTGTAGTAGCATATATCATTATAAATGTTCACTATTGGTCTGCAGTATATCCAAAAATCCTTCCCCTGTAGCAATTTTATAAGGAATTCTCCCGATATCTGTTAGAGGTTGTAATTTTTTTGCTCTTTTATCCATAAGTTTCAAATTATCAGTACATAATTTTCCACCTTCTATTCAAAGTCGCATAACAATCTACTTTGCAATTCCTAAAAATAAACAATACATTAGGTCTACAATTACATATTTGATTAGATTAAAATAAGGAAGATGGTAGAGTTCTGTCTATCTCACCAAGTTTTTAGAAAGATATTTCTTTCTTTGATCCTCAATATTGCAAAGTTTCCATACATAAGCATCTTTTTTAATTTTCTCAATATCACACTCTACAAACTAGTCATCTATATCTAAAAATCTACTAAAATTAGGTTGATGTCTAGCACCAAACTATGCATATTTTTCACATTGAAAACATATAATTTTTGCTGATATTTGTCTACATAACTTTCTGGTTGCTGGAATATCACATGAGTAGCATATAATAGTGCATTTAATTTTTTTGCCCTTAGAAGATTCATTGTAAAAATTTCTACCCCATTCTACAATTCAAGCAATTAATCAACCAAAGGTACAAGATAATGATTAAGATGATGTGATTTAACTTTCTTAGATCCCAGTAATAATGCTAAAGTAATTATATTTTGAGGTTTGAATCTGAGTTCGCAGAGCAAATTACAGATAACTGCATATATTGTATCAGTAGAATATACAGAATTTTTGAAGTGACTAAACCAGTCCAAATTAATCATAAGGCCAAGATGTGTATCAGCATGTTCTAATGTAAAAAAATCTTCATCTTGATTTTTAAAATTCTTCCATATATTACTATTATAAATATTGGCAAGATAATTATTATTTATATTTCTATTAACCTATTTTCTACATGATTTCTCAAATCTATTTTGGCTATATAACAACATGAGCTAATCTTTAATATTTATTGTTGGATAAATAAACAAAGGATGAAACAATATTCTATCCTTTGTAGGCATCTCTTTTGCTAATTGATGATTACAAGGTTGTCTCATTTTAGACATTGTGTAATTAGAATATTCTACAAAAGTAAAATATAAACATATTGGAATTTGTCCAGATCTTTTTGTTATTACCTTACTAGGTTTATATAACTTATTACATACCAAACAAGTTGCATAATTATTTATATGTAGACCTAAACCTATTAACTTTCTGGCTAAATAGAGTGACTTAGAAAAGTTTTTAAACTGATCCTGATCAAGATCTGTCAATAGAAAATGAATAAATTTAACTAATAATTCTGTTGCTATATCAGGTAACCAATATTATTGTTGATATTTTAGGACCAAAGCTATTGTCAAGATTATCAATATGTTTGAATTCTTCTTCATCTTCATTTTTAATATTGGGAGCAAAATAATCTATTATAGTTTCCTCATCACTTTCAGGCTCTATTTTTGCAACTTCTTTATTATCATCAGAGATATTTAAAGTCTCAAGAACTATAGCAATATAAGGTTGTTCTCTAATTATAGCTTTTGTTTTTTTTCTATTATTTTTAGTTACAAAAAATGATTCTTCTTGAAGAAACGATTCTTCTTGAAGACTAAGATCAATTAAAGTAGAGAAAGGTATATTAGTCTGAGATGCACTACTGTCTTCTGTTTGAGGATCTGTAGAAGAAGAGAAATCATCTCCAGGTTCAGCAGAACCTACTAATTCTTCATGCATTCTATATTTTTCAATATTCGCATCTCTTGTTCAGGATCACAGGGTTCTTTTACACCTTTGCATACTTTACATGTGCAAATAACTTTTTTTTGAGTTTTTACTGCAGGTACTTTCAGAAATAACTGATGACTATGTTTTATTTTAAAAAATATTTTAGTGATTGTAGTTTTAGATATCGGGTATTAAGGCAGACAAGTAGTCTTTAAATACAGAATTTTTTTATACAGCTATACTTTTTAGCAGCTACATTAAAAACAATTATTTGTAGTAAGTGATAACAAAGAGATTTACAAAAGATAACTTATTAAATTATTTATTAAATTTCTTTTTATATCTTCTCAAAATAACTTTTCTAAAATTACAGAAGGCATTTTTCATTACAATTTACTCATACTATTTAGAAATTTCCTATTATTATAGTATCTTATTTTTTCTTCAAATTATTGGTACAATCGAAAAATAGAAACTTCAAAGAATTTTTATACATATATCAAAATAGGAATATCATTAATAGACTATCAAAAATAAACTAAAAAAGAAATAGAATTGATGCAATATGAATTTCCTTCATATTGATCAAAGATAAATTTATTACTTTAATGAGTAATAGAAACCTCAAGGAATGTTTACTTTACACATATAC